TTCTAATAATCTGTGGTTCTAATGAAGTCGATCGTCGACGCACACCACAACACCTACTGTCATTGGTAGACATGACGGGTGAATCTCCATCCTCTGGTGCCACCATCAGGTCAAACCTTATGTTCCACCTTCTGATTGACAGGCCGTCTGCTTGGTGAGGTAATCAGCGTCACCTGGCCTTGCATACATTCCATAAGAGTCTCCTGTGAAGCTGCAGGCTCGTCCCCGTGTCCTCCATGGAGAAAACATTTTTCCTCTGGTCTGATTCCAACTCCTCTGTTGCTGCAGTTTCCAGACTTTCATCTCTTCTCTACTTGTTTACTTCATCCAGCCTCCGTCATGCTGTTACGGCGTACTGTTCTTTCAAGGACACATGGTATTAGCACAGCTTGATTTGTTAGTGACTGAAGTTGTGAGAGACACAGGCTCAGTCTTCATCAAACCCACTCTCTGTTTGGTATGAAGTTCTTCTCAGTTTGAGGGTCACTTTAAGACCACGCTGGATCTGGTCACTTCCTGGAGGAGACGACGGATGGATTGACCCACTTCATTCTCTCACTGTGTCACATTGTTTCACAAAGACGGGGTCGTGACCCTCAGGTAGTTCGCAAGAGATTTTTGTTTGGGTCGTCTCGCATCATGTTTTTTACGAATATTGTCTATTGACTTGGGAGGCAAAGTTTGTGACTTTTAAAATATGGGTCTCCAGAAAAAAAGTTTGGGAAACACTGCTGTATCAGATTGATCATCAACCGCTTTGTGTTCTTCCAGGTTCTCAAGGCCTTGGTCTCTGATTAAAAACCTTTGTTTTGCTAAATCTGTGTCATAAAATTGACATTTGGGTCTGAAGTCTGAACTCGAAGGATTTCTTATCTTTGTGTATCAACGTTGTGCGTCTTTTCAGCTCGCTCTTTACTAGACAGTATTCTACTTCTGGTGTATCCTCTAAGAGGATAAATACTGCAGTACAAGGTCATTTGATGAATGAAAGTTTTCTTGCACAGATGGGAGTGAGCGGTGATTTCCGCGTGAGCACAGTTATTTTTTGCCTGCTGTGACTGTCGGTGACTCAGAGCCGTGTGCTGACAGTTGAGGTGAATGTGTTAAACCCCTTTGAGCGAGCCGGTCGATTAGCGATGTGCCTTCAGATGATAACTGAATCAGCGTCTTTCCTCCGTCTGGCTTTATTTATGCTCGCGGGCTATTTTTAGACGTAATAAAAGACGTGTTTTTCTTCCACTTTTCAGCTGAGGTTGCTCAGCACACACGTTCTGTTGTTTTCAAACAGCTTTTGCTGGTTCGTGTTGTTAGACACAGTTTTTCAGTCAGATCTGTTGTTTTTCATCCGCACCTTAATATGTTCTAAATAGATTCAAGGTTTTATTTTCAATTACTGTTTTACACAACATTGTCAGCATTAACACAGTAACAAACACTAACCTACGTAAACAACTACTTTTATAGATTGACCCTATCTGTTTGTTAGTGTTGATTTATTCACATAGAATTAAAGAATATTTAATTAAAAAAAGAGAAGATACTAAGAAGTGTTCTCGACCTTTTTGTTTGTGGTGAGAGTCTCAGTTCTACTTCAATCCATCAGAGGGCTTTGAACATGTGTTTTTATGTAACAACAGGAGTTTGAAAAATCCCCGGAGTGAGGCGCTGCCTCTGCCAGCAGACAGGTCAAAAGGTCACAGAGATTTACACTGACATGCGCTAGAGAACAGCAGATCTGGTGTTTCCGCTTGGTTAAACTTTTCAGGAGAAAAAATACCTGTAGAAAATAAAGTTTCTTTTTTTTAAATTAATCTTTAAAACCCAAGGCTTCCATTCCTGCCCTGCAGGTGGTGCTGTTTACAAATTTGGAAACCTCTTGTCAGAACATGAGTTTAGTGGGACTCTTATGTGGTGGTGCTGTTTACAAATTTGGAACATGAGTTTAGTGGGACTCTTATGTAATCTCTATCTCAGTCAGTTATTTTCCAAGGGAGCTGTAATACATATAGTTTTGCAGACTGATATTTGCCAACCACCCATCATCATGACGGCATCTTCACTGCCTACGGCCTGTCAAGAATCACACTCTGTGAGGACATGGTGAGCCAGCAGAAAATTTCACCAGCTCGAACAGAACTTAAAATAGAAGCTGATTTTGAAACATACACCGACATTCGGAAATGATCAAAAGATTAAAAAAAACATACATGTCTTATGCAGGTCCATGAACCAGCGTCGAACTGACGACTAACATTGGCTCCTTATCGTTTGAGGTTTTAACCTCTGTCTCCTTTGACCTGTTTACTGCCACCTACTTCCTTCTCTGTGGTAAATGGTTGCACTCAGTACCTGCTGAAACGCATCATCCCAATATTATACTGTATTTACTTTTGCACACTTTAAACTTCAGCCAACTTCCGCTGATGTTTCCAGGTCTAAATGTCCAAATAGTTCTCTGTTATGTCCCGTCCTGATAAAGATTTCAGACAAGACAGAAAAAAAAAACTGACTAATGGTGGCTAGAATTCTTCTGTGTGAGAGCGTTCATATCATGGCTCACACTGACCTTGTGAATTTGCTGCTCTGGTGATGATACTGAGCTGATGCTGCTGATTGTAGTGATATGCACCCGTGTGACCTGTCATCGCTCAGAGCAGAGGAAACAGAGAAGGAGAACGAAACAGACAGAGGAGAAAATGTTCTTTTTTTTTTTTTTTAATAAAGTGACCTCCGTTCTTTTTCATGTCTCATTCAAAAACAGTTAGGAGTTAATCGCCTTTCAGAAATGACAAGCATGACTTTATGTAAGAGCTCAGTGTTTTACAGGCTTTTGCCAAGATATAATACATGCTTCTGTTTCCCTGTGATAAATAGTTGTGAGATTTTTTCGTCTCCTTCAGCAGCTCCACTACAGTTGTTCAAACATGGAGGCAAACATTAATATTTGAGCCACAAGACACTGAGCCTGAAATCCAGGGCCAATATGCAAATGTTTGAAATCAATTACACTGCCAGGGGCTGGATGGTGCTTTCAGTAATTTGGTTCCCAAGCAACAGGACACAGTTGAACGTTGGCTACATCTGCTAATCTTCTGGGGTTTTTGAATTGCACTCAGTTTGACAGTTGAACAGCCAGCTTCAAGGAGTAGTTAGTAGATAAAGATGTACCAGTCACCGGGTCAGTGGTCGGAATCGAAACATTTTTAACACGACTTAATCATGATTGTTTTTGCTCACATTTACGAGCTGAAGCTAAAAGGTTGTTAGCTTGGAGGTACTTAACAGTGAATCGAAACAATTCAAAGCTCGCTATTTGTTGTTCAGAATGTCCACACATTTGACGAGCTAACATGGACCACAGCTAATTTTAAGTTGTGTTGTATATGTTCGTGTGCTGCAGGCTAACGCTAAAGCAGCAATTTGTTTTATGACTGACAGTTGTTATGGTCCAGAAATGAGAGTAACTGTCACACACAACACGGAAGAAAGAATTTATTTAAATAAAATAAGTGTTGTTTAAGTTGTTGATGATTTAAGAGGTTTATTATTTAGTAGAACTGACATGTAGCTTAGTGCTAACAGCTTGCAGCTATGGCGCTACTACTAAACAAAAATTGCATGTAAGTTTCTTTTGAAGTAGTTAAGTTTACAAAAATACTAACTATTCTCTACGTTGTGTCTACTTATTCTTCCTGGTTAGTTCACATTTTGATTCTAATTGGCGGTTCAGGTGTCTGCGTCTGTCAGCTAGCTTGGGGGAAAAAAATACCACACTGTCTGTCACTGTGTGTGTATGGATTTTTGCAGCTTTGACATTTCTATTTTTAGCGTATCAAACATAACAGTATTGCATGGTACTTGCATGGCAAAAAGAAAATACATTATATATTCACTAGCTAATCACACAGTCTTTCAGAGAGTCCATTTCCTGTCGGCTGCACGTGCAGCGAACCAATGCAAATGACAGCTCCTCTAAAAATCTCGCTGGCATCTTTGAGCCTCCAACAAAAGAACTGTCAAAGCACCTGGGACGGGTTTGTGTGTTTTTCAGACGAACACTGAAATGTGCGTATTACACACTGACGCGGTGCTTCAAACAGTATTGAATAGACTTTGGTGACAAGAATTACGCTTTGTTTGGGCAGTTGATCAAAAAAAAAAGGTTATTTTTTAAAAATTATTATTTCTCTGATCTACATTTCACTCTCCTGAAGTTTTTGGATACAAAGTGGGTTTGTGCCTGAACAGTGAACAGAGTGTGAGTATTTTTTTAGCTCTCAGTCTTTCTTCATTCAGATACGGTCAATAATTAAACTCCTTTTCAGTGAAAGAGAAACAATGTTCTCTTGTGCTTTGAAACTGGAGAACACTTCCTTGTCTCAGTACTCCGAGCAACACGTATTACAATAATATTGAGTACATGTATCGCTTTTAATATTGCTAAGGCTCACTGATATAGCAGATAGAGTTTCAGTGGATTTATTGGTAGATAGCATTAAGTAAAATTGTGGGACAAGGTTGACACGTTAATGACAAGTTGTTGCCGTTGTGTTTGAATTTCAAATGTATTGACCAAGCCCATAAATCTGTACGAGTATGTTTGCTCCTGTAGCAGTTGAGGAAAACAATATTTATACACAGACTTTAGCAATGCTAAAAATGCAAAGTTTTGCAAAGCCCATGTGAAATAGACACAATTGTGACAGTTTATTAAAAAGTAAATATTCTTTTTTTTTTACTGTCTGTTTTATTTGGCAAAAAGGTATTTTTTTTATAACTTCCCTGTTATATCATGTTCAAACTCCAACAGCTGACAGCTTTGATCATTGGTTATTTATTAAGGATATCAACAAGGTAATATTTTAGATTTGACATGTATACAGTATGTTAGCAGTGGAAGTGTTGGTCCAGGTGCTGTCTCCGACCATGTTAATTTGTTAAAGGTTCTTCATGTCTCTGCTTTGTTAAATGTTTCATTTCTGTCCTGTCTTTGCCTTCAGGGACCAAGTCCACTGGACCAGTCTTCCAGTCCCAGTGCAGCCAGCACTCAGCAGCCTGGAGGTCGCCACAGCTTTGTCCAGGAACACTTCCAGGCTCAGTACAGGTGAGACTCACACTCTAATGAACACACTGAGACCACCAACAAAGTTTAGTTTCTTTTCTTCACTTGGTGAACCATGTGCTTTTATCTTCGGCTGAGGTGTCTAACTGCAGCAGCTCTGAGTAAAATGTACTTGGGTTTGAAAAAAGTTGGGATTCTATTCTTATCTATTATTCAGAACACATGCTGGGTTTAACTCGGCACTATTATCTAAGGCCCGAGGATCGCGTTTGAATAAGAAGAGTGCAATATGCACCATGAAAAGGAATTCAGTGCAGGTGAGTATGTTGATTCTCTCCAGTGGCCTCAGTATCAGCAGCTTCAAAAAGTAGGTCAGACCGTCCTGCAAAGGTTTCTGGGGATTTATGTTCAGTACCGACTTGTAGGTCTAATAGCTTTATTCAAAGACTGCACTTCTCAGGTTTAATAGACCCTCTAATGGAACCGACTCGGGACCTTCCAGTAACCTTGTCACCAGACCTGACAGTGAACATTTGCTTAATCTTTGCCTCCTACAAAATAAAAGCCCTGGAAGCAGTGTGTTTGTCCAAATGGTTGTTCGTGTAAAGGAAGAAGCTGGATATAAAATGAACTCTTTTATATAAACTAAGGGCTCATTCAACAGTTATGAAATAGGTATATTAATCTAAATTGAGGACAGATTTGTTTAAAACAGAGGTCTACAAAAGACCTCTAGTGCGTCTGCGAGGTACTGCAGGGGGTTGGGAAATTTTGGGGTGATTAGAATTTTTTTAAATTATTTTTATATATATATGTGTTACATTTTACAGGTATGTGTTACATTTTCAACACAAAAGTTAAAGTAGTGTATTTCAATTATTTTTATATATATGTTATGTTACATTTTTAACACAAAAGTTAAAGTAGTGTATTTCAACTTTTGGGTCGCAACCCCTTGGGGGTCGCCTGAAATGTCTAGTAATTGTGCAACCCCCTGGGGGTCGCCTGGAATGTGTAGTAATTGAGAAAGAAATTCTTATTAATTAATTAATGTTCTTTTAAAATGTTTGTCTGTTTAATCTTTGTTTATTCTGTTAAAATTGTCCAAACAGCACGTTTGCATGCTCACAGTAAGTTTGTCCGTCTGTTTGTATTATTTGAATAATAACAACACCTGTGTCGTCCTTGTTATGATGCACACAAGCAGCTTTATTTAGGAGGTGTTCTTTATAATTCTGTAATATTTTTGTGTCGTAGGAGACGCACAATAGGGAAAAGAAAAGAGCTAAGTTCTTCCTTCACACCTTTTATTTACTTATTTATTATTCCTCCGTTTTAACACCTACAGCCACCTGCTGTTCAGACTTTGACAAAACAGCGGGGAGCGATCTCTAAATAGAACTTTCTATTCAAAGCAGATTAAAATAACTCATGGGACTTACTTCAGTTTTTACTGAGATTTAATTGAATAGTTGCTTCAGCCTTTGGATGAAATGTAACTCCATCTGGAATTAAGACCCAGGGAGGAATAAATCATGTGCCCACAGATGATGACAGGTGTCACCACCTTGTCTTGACTGAAAAACTATTCCCTGGTTGATCAGCTCTAATGGCTTTTTGTCAACCAGAAAAAGGGTGTGTTTGCACCTGTCATCTTTGGTTGATTAAAAATAATCCTGGTACTTTGTCCACGTCCAGTGGAAGCTGATAGAAGTTCTCTCAACGGTGTAACTTTAATCTGAACATTAAACGGTAAAACCTAAAAACCCTAAAATATTATATATATATAATATATATTGATAAACATTAAATTATATATTTTGTAATATAGAATGATTATTGCTAATTGGGTTAGCACTTTTAGCCAAGCAGCTGGTGTGGTTTTGGAACTTCTATATGATTGATGTCATCAGGTGTCTGTTGAAGGATTTTTGCCAATATGTATTTCTTGTAAAAACACTTTTTTAAAATGTATTGTGAAGTAAAAAAAAGTATAATTGGGAGAGGGATTTTAAACCTTCTTGCTAAACAAAGTTCTAAATTGTTCCTCTGATGCCCAGAGAGGTATTTGTGGCTAAACTGCACATGAGGCAAACTCTGCTGGAACACAAAGTAATGACTTCAGACATTCTGAGGTTTACACAGAGAGATTTAATCCATCTTACCCTCTGTGCTTGGAACAAGCGTTCCAACTTTGGATAACATTTGACAGCTTTAGAAAGCTAAGCGTTTCAGAAGTTCGTACTAAACAACTAAACAGAATTGGACTTTTTCTGTTTGGTCTGAACCAAAATAACTTCAATGAAAAAGTGAACGAACTCTCCATCTCTATTTAAAGGTGGCAGTTTATTGAACATTTACGTCAGCTTCTCAGTTAGCCTGTTAAGTGGTTTGCAGTTAGTCTCACCGGCCCCCTGCTGGCTCTGACTTCACGAGCAAATCAACTTTAAGATAAACATCAGTCTTTCTCTAAATCTCTTTCACGTGTAGTTTGTTCTTGTGAGTGAGCAAAATTGTGTTTGTGTTAATTAAAAAGAAGTGTAACAGGAAAAAAATAATAGGTTTAACCCAAAACAAACCTAACAAAATGTACACAGAGGGACTCCTTTGTTGTTTTCCACGATAAGAAACAATGAAAACAGCCTTTGTCTTTCTGCTCTCTGTTTCCCATTCCAGCTGGACTACATCCATGTAGTGTATCTGTATCGTCTGTTTATTTTCTTCTCTCTACACCATGAGGTCGAAATCAAACACACACTGTAAACAGCTGTCCGTGTAATAGTATAAGATCAACTCACAAGAACAGCAGTGCTTGAGGGAATGTTCAGTAAATTGCAAAAACAATTTACTTTGGACTTTGTTTATCCAGGCCTAACTGATGTATCTGTTAATGAATCTATCATTTGCCTGGAGTGCCGGAAATTCCAATTCTTCCAACTTTCAGCCGCGCTGCCACTGCTCCTGGGCACGGACATTTTCACAGACTCGCTGCAAATTGCTTCAGCTCCCGTGTAATGCACAAACGACTAGCGTGTTAATCTGGTTTGATTAGCTACCGACCACTTAAGCGGCGGACATTTCCTCAGTGGGTGAAGCAATGCCTGCAAATGATGCTAACTGAAAAGAGGTCTTTGATCCAGCTCTCCTGCTGGTCATCAGGTCCGTTTCATTAACACTACGTTGGTCTGACCAATTTCGTGGGCAGCATGATTGAATAGTTAGGGCTGTCAAATGATTAGTGATTTGTAATATCATTCATCACGGTGTGTGTGTGTGTGTGTGAAGTACTCATGGGATGTGTGTGTGTGTGTGAAGTACTCAGGATTAGTCACCATAATTACAGACAAATCAACACGCTTAAATGAAAAAAAAAAAATGAAAAAAAATTATACTGCTGGAACCGACACAGGCTGTCACACAGGAGGCGCCATTAGAGATATGTGGTTCCTCTGGGAGTCGAACCCAAGAGTAACCGCTACACTATAGAACCACTAGAGCAGTCTTTCTTTAGAGCCTGGTCTCTGACTCTTTACCTCAGAGTCCACATCATCAGGTAAATTAAAAGGTTTGTCTCTGTTGCTGCCTCTCGGTTCCCGTCCCTGTATGTCCACCTACTGTACTGCAGGTCCCTGTGCCGCTCTCTCTCTCTCTCTCTCTCTCTCTTTGTCCTTCTCTTTTTGGTTTTTATCTCTCAAACCTGTTTGGCCTCCTCTCCCTTTCTTCCCTCTCCTTCCTTCCGGATTCTTTTTATATCTCACAGAGATGCTTCTCAGAGGCATTCAGTGGAGTTGTCTGATCTGAATAAATGTTTGCGATTAGAGCCGGGGCTGTCTGGTGGTTTGGGCCGCTGATGTGGGAGCCTTGGCTCCAGTCACCGTGCTGCGCTGCAGCCTTTAAATGAGTCTTTGTCGAAGCCTCCCATCCTCCTCCATCTGTCACTCTCCGTTTGTAGCATCTATATTTATTGGCTTGAGGAATTTGGAGAAAGCCCCAACTTCTCTCTCTCTCTCTCTCTCTCACCCTGATCACCAAGAAAGAGGCGTCTCCTTGTTTTGTCGGTGAAAATACCCCTGGTTTTAATCAAAAGACTGATCAGTAGGGATGCTCGATATTAACTTTTTGCCGATATCCGATCTGCAGATATTGTCTAAACACGTAATTTTCGATTCTGATATCAACTGATATTGATATGTGCTACAGTTTCATTGTACGTCGGTGTCCTGTGTCACAATGACAACTCTGTGCACGATACAAATAATAGTTTCACTTTCACTTCAAAACTATTTTTTGGTCACATCATCTGGGACGAACCAAATATAACAAAATTAAGCTAATATCGGCTAACCAATATTATGGGACATCCCTAATAATGAATTAATATTGTTCATCTGTTCTTTTTTATTTATGACTATATTACTATATATACTATAATCCAGATGATGGAGGATTTACAAAAAGTATGCAGAAGTACTACTCCTTCTTTTTCGTTCATTTTAATAGACCCATTTTAACCGATGCCTTTCCTCTGGGAAGTGGAGGTGAAATCTGTAGGAGATCAATATTTCACAACACACAGCTTCTTTTCTTCTAAGAGAAATACTTAGCTCCAAAGAAAACTGATATCTGCCCAGTACAAGACTCCCTCCAACCAATCAATACTTTTGTACTTAGTCTTGCACGACTTAACAATTTGTTAGAAATGCTGACTTCTCATTTGGTGAAACTGCAGAGACTCCTCTGTTTTCACCCCCTACAGGCGTCTGTGAGGTATTTCCACTGCACCCTGTTGACCGACTGCTGGTCAAACGTTGACATTTTACCGCCCAGGGTGTTTTCTTAACTCTGACTGCTGCCCCCTGCTGATACCACCCAGCTCCTTCAGAATGACACTTTGAAGCGGGAGCTGGCTCGTTAGCGAACCACTGATGTTCCAATCTTTAACTAAACTCTTTGATGTGTCATTGACACAAAGTGGTAAAGGGCATACCGCGCTTTAATGGCACTTTTTTAATTTATGACCTTTGGATTGACGGATTCTGAATGCACGACATGGTATCGTAGACCTTTTTCTTCTCTCTTTCTGAAATTGGATTCAGAACTTCCAACGAAGCCTCCAGTCAAACTGAATCTGTGATCACATGCAGAATGAGAAGCCTTTTCTGTTTAGTTCTTTTCTTACTCAGAACTAGAATTCTACGTGCAGAATGCCAGATTGAGTGTGATTTTGTTTTTAGTTTTCTTTTTGTGTTTGTTTTAGAATATGAGGTCCTTGGACAAAGCACTCACCAAATTGCTTCTTGGCCTTGGTCATTAACCGTCTTCTAATTTATCTTTGATGGCTGAAGGGAAGCGGCAGCAGCCACTCTACTGTTTCATCTCTGTGTGAGGCTGGAAGCAAATTACATCTCTCAGAAATGTCATTATGGAAAATTCACATTCACATACAGTCGTCTGCAGTTGCCCCTTTGCCATAGGCACTGATAACTGATAGGTCAAAAGGTCACAGGTGATGACATCAGATAATGTTAATGTATGACGACTAGCACGATGACACACAATGTGTCAGTTAGAATACAGGACGTCTTCACATTTACCTTTTTATTTACTTAAAAGCAGTGTTTGTCAAATAGTGGGGCGGGCCCCTCTGGGGGCCGCGGTGAGATGCCAGGCGGGGCGTGAGGGGCTTCCAATGGAATATTGAACGCTGTAATGTTTGAATGATAACAAGCTTTTAGCAAATTTCTGTCCCCAAGGGAGGGGCGGGAGGGGCGGGAGGGGGGCATGACATTAAATAATTGAAATCCACTGCTTTAAAGGGACATACCGTGCTACTTTAATGCTGTGGTCCGACTGTATATGATTGAAACAGAGTCACTGTAGACCCCGAACAAAAAGGAACAAAGGTGAACTGTGTGCAATTAGGGTCTTACGAGTAAAAGACACTGTGTCTGAAATCAGTGTTGCGTGTGTGTGTGTGTGTATGTGTGTGTGTGTGTGTGTGTGGTCAGTTCCCCTGACAGCAGGAGGCTTGTATGTTTGACAGGAAATGATGGGTGTCCTCCAGTCCACAGCCACTGACACATGACTGACTGACAAGCAGACAGACAGAAATTGAGTTAGTCCCAGGAGGAGGAAGAGGAGGAGGAAGAGGAAGAGGAGCAGCTGTAGGAGGAGAAGAGCTGTGACCTTTGGAGTCATATGCAGCTGTGTACAGTAGATTCACAGTCGCTGCTGTAGCAGAGAACGTGTTCATGGAAATGAGTTTTGTTTGGACTTTGGTTTAGATTTGCATGAATGCAGCTCAACTGTGTACAGGAATAGAACGACAGAATATCAGCACAGATATAACCTAGAAAATAGCAGTAACATCCATCCATCCATCCATCCATCCATCCATCCATCCATCCATCCATCTATCTGTTACTTATCAACCAAATCCTGATTCTCTCTGCCATCTCACCGTTGACCACCGTATAGAAATTTAGTTAAAACAGTTCTGAGACTTCTGTAAACAAAACTCTTTTTTTTAATTCTCTCTGCCATCTCACCATTGTTCACCGTATAGAAATTTAGTTAAAACAGTTAAACGTTTGATAACCACTAGTGTAGCTAAAGGTCCGTGACAAAATAGTTTTGTGTTTCTGTCATTTTCTGTTAATGGATTTAAACCTTTTATTAACCGTGCTTTTTAAAACAAATCTTATTCTGTTGCTTCCGTCTTTCTTTCAGACAGACACACACACACTTTTAAGGTTATTTCTTTTTTTTTTCTACTCTCTCCTAATGTTGTTTCTTAGATTCTGAATATTTAGTGTGTTTTGTCGACCAATTGTCTTGAGGTTCTTTCAGGGTTTTTGAATTTTTATTTTGTGATAGAATTCTAAACAGACGGAACAATTATTCGACCTCGGTTTCTTCGTGTGTCTTGGGTCGTAGACGATGTGATAATCACCCTTCATTTGAAGGACTTTTCTCTTTGTTTTTTTATTTTTTTATTTTACGAGTTGCTGAAGAAAAACTTGAATGTGTTGGTGGTGCAGTCTGGTCAGATGCAGAAACAGAAGATGAAGTCTCGTCCTGTTGGAGAAACAAAAGAGCAGACACAGTATCACGTTCTCTGTCATATTATTTCCATCCATTCGATATTCCAGCCTAATTTCCCTCTTCTCCACATATTGCATTACAGCATCATTGTCTACTCAGTCATTTGCATCATGTTTCTGTGTTTGCTGGTGTTTATAGATCATCATCATCATCATCATCATCATCATCATCATCACACCTGTGATGTTTGATTCATTTGCATGTGTTGTGGGTTTCGTGTTGCTCCAGGTATCAGGTCTAAAATGAAAGACTGACGATCTTTTGGTTTGACAGCTTTGACATTGTACATCAGCCACACACACACACACACACACACACGCAGTCACAAATCACTGAAAGGCTGTCTGCCTCTGACAGCCTCTGTGTGTGTGTGTGTGTGTGTGTGTGTCCTTCAGACTACAAACCAGCATCATTAGCCAGCCTGTGGATGTCTGTCATGGCAGATCCGTCTGAAGTCCGACAGCAGAACATCCAACGATGTGCACACGTGCATGTTCCACAGTGTTGTCCCTTTTTTCACTGAGACCCATCAGTGGAGGGAAATGTTGGTTTGTAAATGGATCAAACCTCGAGTTTTTAACACCATGATGTCTTCGCTCACATATCCTAAAAATCTTTTTCGGGACAATTGCAGGTCAAAATCTGTGTAGTGTATGTGCGTGACAGTCCTGCCTTCAGTCCAGATCTGTCTCCTTTGTATAAAACAGTAGTAACTAGGGCTGTTCCATATGAACTTTTTGCCAATATCTCATATGCCGATATTTTCCAAACACTTTCCACTTCCGATATCAACTGATACTGATATAAAAAACTGAAACTGAGGTAAACGTCTCAGGAACCTACGAGCGATTCCTGCATATTTGGCAAAAAATGATCACGATTCTTACAGATATTACAGAGATATTACATAATGATGCTAATATAGGGCCGATATTATCAGACATCCCTAGTACTAACCAATCAAAACTGCTGCAGTCAGAGAGTTCATTTTCACTGCGACGTGCACACACCGGAGTCACTGGCTGTCTTCCTGTCACTCGTTGTTTCTCTCTTTATATTCACTCAAAGATGATTACCTGTCCTCGCCGTCTCTCCTTCTCTCAGCTCGACTGTCCTGCTGTGAACCTTCTGTTCACTCGTAATCTGTCCAACCCGCTGAGTCCCACACTTCTTTTCCCTTTATCTCTGTCTCTTCGCTCTTCATTCTTCCTTCTGCCTTTCCCAATCTCCACCGTACATCTGCCGGCCTTCGCCGATCTCTGTCCCGTTTGTCGACAGACACCTTCTCGCTGCCGTTATCTGAGCAGCGCACCTTTGAACGTCACCCCACTGGTTCTGATTTGTGTTAAATAACATATAACATATCTTGTCTAGTGAATACTACATTTTTAATTCAGTTTTTAATCTTTAAGAGACAGTGACCAGTACAATGCAGAAAAGGTCTATTATTAAATATATTCTAAGAAACTTTTCTTCTTGCTGACTCAGCAGCCTGATAGATGTTTAATGGCTAGCGCTGGGTCAAACCTGGAAAGGCCTCGTGACATTTTGGCCTCAGGATTTTTTTCTTGCATCCCGTTCTGTAAAACTTCAGATGATTTCATTGAATATTTCACAAAAACAACCACTAATTTCCTTTGGGTCATTTGAATCAAACTGGAAATGCTTTGCTTGATTCTGACTAAAATAATGCGTTCACTGAACTCACTTTTATCATTTGTAGGTACTGCTATGTATTTTCACACATAACTATGTATTTCATCCATCAGATGTACATCTCGTAGATCACTTTAGGGCAAATGTATGTATTTCTACCATATATTTTTCTTACTTGTATTGTTTTATGTCTGCAGCCTCGTTCCGTCCTGTCCAGGAACCTCGTGCACAATAGATTATTAATGTCAATGAGGCATTCCAGGTTCAATAAATGTTAAATAAATGAATCAAATATACATTATTTGCTGTTCAAGTCTGAGATATTTGAGGTGAGTGGGATTGTGTTGCAAAAGTGATGAAATCTCATCATTCATTCTGTGTGTGTGTGTGTGTGTGTGTGTGTGTGTGTGTCTCCTCAGGTCCTCCCTGACGTGCCCTCATTGCCTTAAACAAAGCAACACCTTCGACCCTTTTTTATGTATATCCCTGCCAATCCCACTACGACAAACCAGGTAAGGTGTAACGTTGACTACAGTCTGTTATTAATACAGCATAAACAGAAAACTTTGTTTATATGTATTTGTATGTATGTATGTATATATATATATTTATACACATATAAGTGTATATATGTCTGTGAATTGTGACATCACACACTGGGTTTAAAGTTGTAAATAAGGGTTCACCACTGGTTTCAATTTTCTAAGTTGCTGCTAACGTTTTAACGACCGCTAACGTCCGCCTCCACTTCAATGACGTAGACGTGCCAAGGAGTCGTCACTGATGTCATGTGACTTTAGTCAGATACGTTAACTTTCATGTCGATTCTCCACTGATCCAGAATTATCACTTATTGATCGTTTCAACAGATTTCAACAATACTGTTTACCGTCTGTGTTTAAAACCAGGATTTAAGGAGCCAAAAAATCTTCCGTCCTTTTTGGTCGGAAGGGAACCACCCTTTTTTGGTCCATTTTATGTCCGTGTGTCCAGTTATTACATGTGGAAATTGACAACAACATTGGAGGCACTTGAGGTGGTCAATTTGCCTACATCCCCTGCTCCTATCTTCAAACATGCAGACGCCTCAGCTCTGCGTGGCGTCCACACAGCTGAGGCCAGACTTAAATCCGTCTGACAGTGTGCTCTTGGTCCCTGCAGTTGCCTGAGCCCAGCATAAAGGCAAATTCATTCAAGATTTAGCCGGGTCTCGGTGCTGGCCCCGTACACATGCACACGTGTGTGTGTGTCTGTGTGTGTGTGTGTCTGCGTGTGTGTGTGCGCACAGACAGACAAACACTGGCCTCAATGTCCTGTCCTGCCGCAGCTGTATCCCAGCAGAATTCCTGATAAGTTTGAGGTCACCGGAGACACAGGGCCACGTTCTGGCCCACAGCTTGGAATCCCAGCCTGGGTGCTGCAGATAATACCAGTGTTTAGTACCGGTACAGAGAACAGGAGGAAGTAGAACAACAACTTTGGACATGCTGCTATTATTTTTTTTTTTTTTTTACAAACTAGGCCTGTTTGTGCATTTCTGCCACAGTCCAAAAATGTCCAGGTTGTTCCCTCAGGGTTCCTCGACCTCAGATGAGTTGAGGACCAGTGCTGCCACCATGGTTTCATTGGCGGCCACATCAGTGTCAGATCTTCAATTGAAAAACAAAACAAAACTGATATTTTTTAAAAAAAAGTAGTAGTTTGGTTTAATACAGTAGTTTCCAAATCTGTTTTTGGCTCTGCATCTTTTACAAATTTTAAAATTAACATGTTCTTAATGTGAGGAAATCCCCTAGTGGCAGCTCGTGCACCACCACACTTTGGGAATCCCTGGTTTGAAATGAATTAAATTATTCTTAAAACTATTTTTCTGTCATTCTGAAATGACTAAAGTATTTTAATACATTTTGCATAACAAGTAGGAATAAATTAATTTTTTTTCTTCTAATGATTATTGGCATCTATCTGGGGGCTGGATATGAAATCAATGGGTAAAATAGTTGTATTTAACATTGTAGTCTGTGGTCTTTTGTTGGACGTCTGCAGGATAGTCTTTTTGCACGACCATCAAACCAAAAAGTGCCAGTGAGTTTGAACGCGGTAGAAAAGCCCCTCATTTGATGTCTTCATTACTTCTAGTTCTTTCCCCAGTTTTTCCTCCAAGTCTCATCTTGTTTCATTTCACATCTCGGCATCTTGAGCATCCAGCAGGGCGAACGAAACAGCTGCTGACATCCCCTGCCGTCTGCCCTGTCAGCCTCCCCGCTGCTCACACATTACTCAGCTGAATAATGCATGATGAGAAATAGAAGGAGAGGTGTCAGCGATTACGCTGTGTTCATTCTAAACGAGAAGGCGTGACCTCACTTTCTCCCTGTTTTTTTTTTTTTTTTCCTCTCTCTTCTTCTTCCTCTTCTCGTCAGCCTGTTGTGGAACGATGGATTTATTTTGCTGTAATCCAAATATGTCTCAGCTCTCAGCAGCCTTCTGTGGAATCCTCAGCATAAACGCATGATTGAGTGGAAAACACACACAAAGTGAAATTTGACATCGGATCAGTTTAAGTCTATTCTATTACTACTTCTGATTCCTCCTCTTCTTCTTCTTTAACCTGAACATCC